CGGAATGAGGGGCCGGCTGGAGAGGCTCTGTGGTGGCGGGGAGCCTCTTGTCAGAGCTCCGGGAAGCCTCTGGTGATGGCGGAGAGCTCTGTCAGAGGCTGGAGGGGCTCTTCGGCGATGGCAGAAAGCTTCTCTCAGAGCCCGGAGAACCCCTGTCAGAGGCGCCGGGCGTGAGGAGCTCTCCCCGGGCGCGGGTGGCCCTCGCCCCATCCCTCTGAGGGGACCGGGCGGACGCGCCTTCCCCTCCGCGGGGGAGGCGTCTGCTAGGGCTCAATCTCGCTCCTTTTCTGCCCTGTTCTCCTTTTAAAAATAAGAGAGGAAGCACAAACGTCCAGTAGGTGCTTCCCTCTTTCTCCTAGGCTGAGTCGGGCTTGGAGTTCACAAAATAAATGGAAGCACCTGAAAACTGGTGGGAGAGAGGGAGTGGCCTGAATTTATATTGTAAAAACATATGTAGGCTTGAAAGCCTTGCAGGTGGTGGAAGGACTCCTCCTTCACGGAGGTGTGTGCTTCCTCCACACGGAGCGAAGTGAAGCAGAAGTTTAAAAATTGAAGGGTATGAAGCTTCGTGTTGGCTTGGTTTGGTTTGAGAGCCCCAGGTTGAACAGGTGGAGGTGTCACCACCTGCATTGAAACCCTCTGTTGTTCAGAGTTGTTTTCTACTTCTAAATGGCCACATTGTCCTTCAGAGGGGAAGATTATGTGTTTGTGTATCCTTTGTTTTATAAAGGTATTTGGGGTAACTACTGTTTATGTTCACCTGGCCTCAGAAACCTTCTGTCATGGAAGAAAAGGAGAATAAGCACCCAGGAAAACTTGAACTCCCCGAGCCAGGAACCACATCTGTGTTTCTCTTTTTAAGATTTGCCCTGATTAATGAGACTGCAAACAGTATAAAACACAGGGCTATGATAATGTGCTTTTCCTGGAGAGGAAAACAGCTTGGCAGGATGAACACAATCATACATAGTGTACCCAAACTGCTGCAATATTCAGGAGATTTAAAAAAAAAAAAAAAAAAAAAAAAAAAAAAAAAAGCCATGAGTGATGTAAAACTTCATTTACAGTGAAGCAATTCCTCAGGGGTTTATTCTTTAAAGTTTTCATGACTCGGGAAATATAAAGCAAAAAGTTTGTCTCCACACGTCTTAATTAAAATACAATTAGAAATGTCCAGCTTCTACTGAGAAGTGTTTTCCGCTAAGAGTTTATTTCGCTTCTAAATGTGACTTCTCTATATCTTTTGCTTTTTAACCGCGGATTCAGTGCTACAAAAATATACGCAATCCAGAATTTTTGTTTCATGTTTCCTCTTTCACCATTTTTAGCACTGTAGAGTTGCATTAGTAACATGTTTCAGGTGTGTCACAGAAAAAAATTCAAGTCTTTCATTAAGCAGGGTGGGACAGCATTAGTCAGAGGCTGAAAGCATGTGTCACACTTGTATAATTTCATGTGCTCCTCTGGTCCTTCATCCTGGCAAGCCATACTCAATTGCTGCATATTTTACCAAAAGTGGTCTTTTCTTACTGTTCTTCCATTGTAAGGTGTGCATAGCTTTGTAAAAAAGCCCAAAGTTTGAGTAGCAGTAAGTGAGAATGCAGATTTTTGTGGTCCTTCAAAAAAAAAAACTTTAAAATTTTGTTTAGAAAACTGTAATTTGTCACAGACCTTTCATTTTCTACTAAATGAATATAATACCTGAAGTGTTTCACAACTTCTCTGGGATTCTCTGCAGGAATGTGTTACTCACTGCAGTGTACTGCAGGACTTGAGGACAAAAAGAATCATCTGTTCATAGTAACTAATACCACTTTCAACTGTTTCTATTTTTTAGGACACTGGTGTGGGCAAATCAAGTATTGTGTGGAGATTTGTCGAAGATAGCTTTGATCCCAACATCAACCCAACAATAGGGTAAGAAACTAAATGAAGTAAATGTTATTTATGCAAGAATAAAATGAGATTACCTGAATAGATCACTTGGGAGTTCTTCGTGTGTGGCAGCTAAATGTGGTAATAAACATGACTGCAGCCTTAATTAAGCTTGTGAGCTACCTCAGGACACGTAGGAGTGTTCTCAGCACTCCTGCAGCTTCCATTTTTATGTGTAAGGTCTGGACCCATTTTGTATTGTTAATCTAAGCTAGCAATGAATAAATTGCACTACAGATGCTTCTGCTAAAGGGACAGCATGCTTTTCTCATGCACAACCTTTACATTTCAACATCTAATTATTATGCAACTCCACGGGTTCTAATACAATTTTTTAAAGACTCAAGTACTATAAGTCTCCTATGCTTTTAAGGATTGTTAACATAATTCAGGTAGGTCTCACCATGAATTAGTTAAAATGTTGCACATCTGTATGCAAGGCACACACAAATCTAACTGATGAAACTGTTTTTCCTGTTGGTCTCGTGGGTAAGGGGGATATTTGAAACTTGAGCCTCTGAGTAGCAACATTATTGATCTCAAATCTTTGAATGGATAGAAGGAAGGGCAAGCATCAGGGATTCTTGGAGTGGTTGGATCTTTTTATTTCTTTCGCTGCCTTTTTTTTGCTTAACAGTTGTCTTTTGGGCTGCTTTGATCAGAAGCAATTTTTGGCTTATGGGAGGACAGCCTTTGCTGAATGCCAAGAGGTGTGTGGGGGTGTCACTATAATTTCCTGTCTCAGGTGTCACACAGGCTCTGCTACAGCTTCGACCAAAAAAAGATCCTGCTGATAAAGATCAGCTGTGTCTCATCCTGTCCTTCTGACAAATTGAGGTTTCCATGGTCTCTCTCTTTTCTCTTACAACCCTTTCTTTTTCTGAGTATAAATACTGACATTATAGTAGCTTGAAGTGACAGACTGAAAGTCTATCTTTTACCAGCCTTTACAAAATCATTCACTGGTCTGAGGACTGGTTATTTTGGTCATTTGCTGTGTAAAGGAATCAAAACTTGCCCAAATGCAGGGATTGTGTGAAGCTCCAACAAGATACACAGTCCGAAAACTTAAAGTAAATTAATCTTTACTTTTTTCTTTTTTTTTTATACCTTTTTTTTAATTCCTAATTGAGACTAGTAGGTGGAAAGGACAAAGTAAGGGTTAGAAGAGCTTTGAGCAACTTGCAAAACTAAGGCTGAGAATGTTTCAACTTTATTCCTGGGTCTTTGAGTTCATGAGATATGATCTTGTTTCCTGTCCTGTTTTCATTCCCCTTAGAGTCAGCTGAGCAATCACACTGTTGTTAATGTTCATTGCTCTGTTTCTGATATGGGCAGCTGCAGAAGCTCTGTCAGAATTCTGCAACTTTTCTCCCCTCAGGATGCTGATGGCACATTTAACCAGCATATGCCTTTAGGTACTGCAGAATATCTAGTCTTTCTTTATAGCATCAAAAAGGAATATCAAACAAGTTATAGTACCTAATTGGCTGGGAGAAGCAGCTGGAAAATTTAGTAAGAAAACAGACATTATTCCTACTAAAAGTCAAGGATAACTCCAGCTTGGACAGTTTTGTTGACCCAATTGTCAAAGAATTTCAAGAAGCATTTAACCTCTTGTCAGGTACCACTGGGGATGGTTTAGTTGTGATGTGAATCACAGAAACACAGCTGTTCAGTTCAAATTGACTGTACAGGGATGTTTTGGTCTATAGCACCAAGTAAGATAAATTCAGTGAGAATCTGTGTTTAGGAAACTGTTTCCATATAGACGGGAGAATTCCGATTTTATGCATAATTTGTAGCAGTCTTAAAGGAAGTGAAAGTATCTGCTGTGCTTTACTAGAGATACTTCTATCACTTTGATTTTCTTTATTCATTGCAGAAACACGTCAGCTAGTTTTTGGTGTTGAGATGCATTGCAATTAGGCTCTTTGTTTTTAGGGGTGTTGCAACTTTATATTCGGCTTCTTAAAAGGGGAATCAACTTTGGAGACT